GATGAATAAAAAAGTCCTGCTCGGGTTTTGTGCTCCTGTGGCAAATCCCGAAGGAAAGCAGAGTTTTTTTTCCAATGAGAGGCAGAATGGGGTCTTCAGAGCCAGAGCCATGGCAAGACCGGGAAATTTTATTCAGGGATCCAGTATTTTATTCCTGGAATAGTTTGGGTTGAAAAGGGTTTAAATCCCWAAATAAATTCCAGATAAATTCCTTTCCATGGGCAGGGTCACCTTCACCGGAGCAGATTCCTTACATAATACATTTATTTGCTATACACAATAAATCAAATACGTGGATAATTCAGAATTAAACAATAAATATTCCATATCCATCATCCCTGTATTCCCGTCTCCATTCCCGCTGTCGTTCCAGCTCTCCTCCGTCTCGTCCCTGATCCGTGGCTGACATCTGCTGGTGCGGGAAGCGAAGCGGGAGCTGCTCCCGAAATCCTCCGAGCTGCCCAAGAACCGACCTTGGAGCATCCTCGGGAAGCTCGATCGGGGATCCGACACCTTTGAGTGTCACAGCTTTGACTCGTTTTATTCCTGATTTTTTAAAAATTATTATTTTTTATCACAGACCTCGTTTTTGGCGCTAAAAATTGCCATTCTTGTGTTTTCTGCTTTTTATTTCTGCATGGAGTGGTTTGGATTGGGGAGGGACCTTAAATCCCATCCCATTCCACCCCAGGGACAACTTCCAGGATCCCAGGATGCTCCAAGCCCCGTCCAGCCTGACCTTGGACACTTCCAGGGATGGGGCATTCTCTGGGAATTCCATCCCAGCCCTCCCCACCCCTCCAGGGAGGAATTCCTTCCCAAAATCCATCCCTGCCCGTTCTCACTCCGAACCCGTTCCCCCATATCCTACAGCTCCATCCCAAAAAAAAGCATCCGAGAAGAACTCACAGTCCACGTTATCTCCATGTTGTTTTTTTGGGTCCCTGCGCCTTGAACTCCGGTCGGATTTATTTCAGGACCTGAAATTCACRTTAAATTCTTTTAAAAATGAATTTTTCCCAAGTCACAAAACAACCACCTAGAGGTTAAAAACCCCACAAAGCCCTTTGGAGGCAGAAGTTAATGGCCTGGTTTTTCCAGAAGCTCCCATTCAGGTTAATGGGACACGAGGCTCCCAGTCCTCCGGAAAACCAGGCCGTTTATTTAGGAGGCTCCTTTTTGTTCTTCCCAGAATGTCCTAAATCCTTGAAAGGAAACCTTTGTGGAGGAGCTCCGGGGGCCGGGTCTGTCGYTCCGAGCCCGGGACGCGGCGGGAACTGTCGGGAGCCAACGCTAGATGCCAGCAAATCCCACAAAAAAAATCCCCCCGGAACGGTCTGAGCCGTGGAGATTCCCGCAAATCCCTCACGTGAAATTTTCCTGATTTTTTTTTCCCTTGCAAATCCCTCGCGTGAAATTTTCCTGAGTTTCTCCAACAAAGCGTGAGGCAAATTTGAGACACATTTGGGGGTTGGAGCAAATTTCACTGCTTTATTCCAGAATTTGGATGGGGAGGGGTATTTAAAATCACACAATTCCACCCCTGGCTATGGACAGGGAATTTTCCATGATCCCAGGGTGGTCCAAGCCCCAATGTCCAGCCTGGTTTTGGACATTTYCAGGGATCCAGGGAGGGTCACATTTCCTCTGGATAACCCGTGCCACGGCCTCGCTACCCTCTATCAGTTTCAAGAGCCGACAATAATCAACAAATTACCCATGAGTCTGATTTTTCCACAGATTTCTGAGCTTCCCGTGGCCTGAAAGGGCTGAAAAAAAGGACTGTTTTTTTTCCTTTGAGGAAAAAAGCAAAACGCACATTTTTCTACAACAAATGAGCGACTTCTATGCAAAGCTCTGAGTTTTGCTGCAGGACAAAACCTACGGGCTCGAAAATCCCACACGGAAGAATTCCACCGCGGATGGCGCAAACTGATTTGCGGGATGGAAGGATGAGTTTCCACAGAGAGCGGCAGATCCCGAGGATGAAAACGACTGGGAAATAAAAAGAAAAACCCAAAACTCACGTGCCCCGTTGGTCTGGTAGCGCTCGGAGGGCAAACTGGGCACGCTGCTCCCCACATCGTTGACGGCGATSACCCGAAATTGGTAATTCACGTAGGGCGAGAGGCTCAGCACGGCCGAATTGACGCTGCCGGGATACCTGGAGTGGTTGTGCCACATTCCCGGCTGGAAGCGATCCTCCTCGAACTGCACGATGTAGTCTGGGAAGAGCGGGTGTTGGATGGGATTTTTCCGACGCKATTYGGGGGTTTTGGGGGATTTTTTGGGGGGGATTTTGGGGACGGACCCGTGATGGGGCTGTTGTTGTCATCACCGGGGATCCACGTCAGCCGCACGCTCCTCTCAGCCAGGTCGGTCAGCTCCAAGTCCCGGGGTCGGTCGGGTCGTTCTGTTGGCCGAGGAGTGGGAAAAATGAGGCTGGAATTGTCCCAGGARCGAGTCCCAGTTCCCGCCGCCGCTCCCAGCCCCGCGGCCGGACGTGCTCCGGGGCACAATCCACGTCCTGCAGCTCTTTGYGGGGCCGGAGCGGATTTTAAAATATAAATGTGGTCATTTCTGACCATACCTTGCCTGGAAATCCTGACTTTCCCAGAAAAATCCTGCCTTTCCCAGAAAAATCCTATTTTTCCCAGAAAAAAAATCCTGTTTTTCCAGAAAAAAAATCCTGTTTTTCCAGGAAAAAATCCTGCTTTTCCCAGAAAAAAAAACCACTTGCCTTTTCCATTAAAAATCCTGCTTTTCCCAGAGAAAAACTTGCCTTTCTCAGAAAAAAAAAAACTTGCCTTTCCCATTAAAAATCCTGCTTTTCCCAGAAAAAAAAATCTCCCTTTCTCAGAAAATATCCTGTCTTTCCCAGAAAAAATGGGGGGGAAACTGCAGGTTCTGGTTTTGGGAGATTTGTGAGCTTAATGGAGAAATAAAAATAAAAAAGAGGGAAAGGATCCAAAAGCTCAAAGGAAACATTAATTTGTTAGAAATTCCCTGTTTTTTTGTTTGTTTTTCTGTTT